CAGAGTGGCACTAGGTAACCAGAACAGAATTTGGTACCAGGAGAGTGGAGTGCTGCCCTGACAGATACCTAAAATGTGCAAACAGGAGTGAAGTGCGTCCTTGACCCGAAACCCTGGCAGAGTCCCCGGGATACGGCATGACAGACAGCAGGACAGACGGCAAGACTGGCATGAGAGACGGCAGGAGCAGGGCCAAGAACCGGCAGGAGACAGCGGCAGCCTTACCAACCCACGGAGGAGAAAGCTTGAAGTCTTTGCTTAGGCGCCTTACTGGTGGAGTGGGTTGCCTTCGGGCAGTAACTGGTAGAAAAGACCCGCATGAAATGGAGTAGCAGGTTGGTCGACCCATGGAGCAAAAAAGCTGAATGCCTCGGGGGCGGCAGATTTCCAGCGAAGGGGGTTGCCTTTGGCATTAACCAGCAGAAGCAGAGGAAACGGAAGCAGAGCTGCCTCGCCTGAAGGGAAGACCATGGCCTTCGGGGTGGAGCCGCCACAGCCCCCTGGGTTTCAAAGAGCCAGGCCTTCGCACCTTGGTTCTGCGTGTGGGGCCGCTCTTTCATGGGAGCCAATGGGATGGAACCACAGCCACTGCCCCGGAGGGAGGGGGCGGGGCCGCCAGGCCAAGGGGGTGAGGTCGCCACTTAGAGGAACTAGGGGACCAGAGCCACCCAGTGGAGGAGACCTGTACAGACACCACCCATTGAAGATCTGTACAGATGCCAAGTTGGCAAGGGCTGGAATTGTGGTAGTTATGTTGGTGTGTCAACTTGGCTGGGCCTGGTTGAGTGGCTGGGCAGCTGGTGGTAGTTACTCCCCATGATGAGACTGGCATTCAACTCCATGGTGGGATCTACCACAAGCAGCTGGGTAGCTGCCTTTGGGTGTATGGTCCACTTCCCTTATATAAGCAGCAGCTTTGGGAATGGTCTCTAGCCTACGGCACGCTTGGACCCTGCATGTAGCCATGTCGTTGCTCAGCAGCTTGCTATGCTCTGCCAACCTGGGGACTTACAGTGGACTTGAATTAATGGCCTGCCGTGTGGATTGGTAACATAGGGACTGTGCCTTGTCAACCTTGGGGCTTCTCAGCCTGAGCAGCCAGCAGCTGTCTGAGCAAAGAAATGCCTCTCGCTCCAGTGGGCTGGGAGCAAGAGGCAGAGCTGGACCCCAAGGTTAAGGGGCTTTCACCCAGCCCCTAGAGCCTGGCACTTGAACATGGACTTAAAGCCTCCAAATTGTAAGAATAAAATCCCGTTTGTTAAGGCCGTCCCATCTGTGGTATATTCTCGTCAGAGTGGCACTAGGCAACCAGAACACTGCAGAAGAAAGATGAGGTGATCTGCTTCCGTAAAGACTGACAGCCTTGGGAACCTGAAGAGGGTTGCTGTGAGTTGGAATCAAGTTGATGGTAGTGAGTTTGGTTTTGTAGAGACGCCTGTTCAGGGTGTCTACGTGTCCTACATTTTTCCCGCAAATTTTTTTGGGCGTTTCTTTGGATCTAAGCAGTGTTTGGCACTGGGGACACCGACAGGTCACTTCAGACACATCTCTGTGCTGAACCTTTGTACAGCAGAAAGAGAAACGCCATCTCTGAGGGGCACAGGAGGGGCCAACGACAAGCCAGCACGAAGAGTTTGCTGGTGGAGACATTTATGGGGTGCGAAGGGCACCTACAGCCTCGTGGGGGAGTCAGGGTTTAAATGCAAACAGAGCCTGCACAGGAAGAGACGGGAGAAGCAGACACAAGGAGGGAGCACAAAGGAGACAGAACCTATGGGGAGGTCCAGGCAGCAGCCTGGGCAGGACTGACCCTGGCATCTGCAGGGCAGTCATGGAAGGCTTCCTGGAGGAAGGGGTGTTGAACCTGAGGCTTGTTTCAGAGAACTGGGAAATGAAGGGTAAGAGGGGCTGCTCAAGGTGAGCCCGACCCTTGACTGCCAGGAACAGGAAGAAGTCAGCTTGGGTGAGACCTGGAACCATGTGGCACCCACTCTGGCCTGGGGGAGGAGCCCCACCCTTTGGGGGGCTGGTGGGCGGGGCCCAGCACCCCACCTCCCCTCTCCCTGGGATCCTCTCACAGGCCCAGGAAGGACAGTCTGAGGAGGCCACTGTGATGACCACAAAACCGAAACATAAGAGTTGACAGACCTGCCCAAGGGCACCTGGGCTAGCCAGTGGGAGAGCCTGGAGAAGGGCAGGGATTAGGTGGTCTTGGCGATGGGCTGTGTGACCTTGGAGAAATCACTCGCCATCTCTGAGCCTCTAGAGTGCATCTACGAGGCCTTTTAACAGGAAGCTGGGTCCCAACTGCTCTTGACAACTGCATGATCCCAAGACTGACAGTTCCCGACGGTCCAACCCCAAACGAGCAGAAACAAAGCAGGCTATCAGATCAGAACACTGGGGAGTGGGAGAGGCAGCCCAGACAGGCCACCTCAGGGGACCCAGGAGTCCAACAGCCTCCAGGCCCTGGGGGCCAAGAGGACGAGTCCAGTCAGCCCAAACCGGTGCCCGGGTGCCAAGGCTCTGGAGGGCACAGCCACGGCAAGAGTAGCCAAGCAGTGATGGGACCACGTAGGAGCCCAACGGCTTCCTGGTTTTCTCTGCGTTGCGCTGGGCTTCACAAGCCAGCAGGCCCTGCAGAGGCTGGGCTGTCCCTCGAGGGAGTGTCCTTGTCACCCCACTCAGATGCCCAAGCTGGGGAGGCGGGGCCGCGTCCCGGCTTCCCAAGGTCTGAGAGCTCTGAGGGTCTCTGCTGTGGCCTGGCACTAAGACCCTGTGGCCAGCGACCCCTCAGAGTATGGGCCCATGACCCCAACATGGTCCTGTGGTAGGTGGTAAAGAGAGAGCAGTCAAGGTGGGTACCGGTGACTTCAACACGCTCTGAGCTGCCAGCAAGGCATGAAGCCAAGCATGAAATTAACACTGACTCTGTGTGCCTGCACTCAGATGCTGAGAAATCACAGTGACAGTGGCAAGGTCCCTGGGGTGGGCAGGAGCTGACCTCCCATCCCAATGCCACTCCAGCAAAGGAGGGAGCCCAAGGTGACCCCAGGAGGCAGGGCCCTGCTCCCCGGCCCAGCCCCATCTACCTTGTAGGAGTACTGCCGTTGCAATGGGGTTGGAATCAATTGCCTTCACCACTAGAGGGGACCCTGAGTGGAGCTAACAGTTAACAAGCTCCCTGCTGACTGGAAAGCTGGGGGTTCGAGTCCAACCAGAGATGCCGCAGAAGGAAGGCGTGGCAGACTACTGCCAAACGCCCAGCCACTGGAACCCCAAGGAAAGCAGCTCTCCTATGACATGTGGGGCTGCCTTGCCAGCTGCTGGTTTCCACGTTACAATGTCAGGCCCCACTCACTGCTGTCTCCCTGGGGCCCAGAACAGAGTGGGGCACGTGGCAGGTGCTCAATAAACGTATGTGGAATGAATGAGAGAAGGGGTGCTCACTCCTGGTGTCTGCAGAGTACGGAGGAGGAAGAAGGGAGCAGACAGTGCACCCCAACCTGGTCCTGAGCTTGACAGCTAACACGTCCGAACACGCTGAACCCTCGACGACCCCTCACAGATGGACAGAGCCCTGGCTGCACAGTGGTTAAGTGCTCAGATGCCAACTGAAAGGTCTGTGGTTCAAACCACCAGCCATTGCACAGGAGAAAGATATGACAGTCTGCTCTCACAAGGTCACAGCCTTAGAAAGCCTACAGAGCAGTTCCACCCTGTCCTATGAGGTCACCAGGAGTCGGGATCAACTTAACAGCAGTAGGTTTGGGTCTGGTTTTTTCTCACAGATGGAAAACTGAGTCCTGAGAGTAAGAGACCTGCCTGAGGGCCAGCCAGTCAGCCGCACAGGGAGACGTGGACAATCCTGAGCCCAGTGCCCGGCTATTCCGAGCAAGCTCACTGGGGCCACCTTCCCCTGTACTAGTCCTGGGCGCACAGCAGTGCCTGGCGGTGCGTCAGAGCCTGCAGGGTCCAGCATGCTGCTCTCAGCATGCACGCATGGCCACAGGGGCCCCATGCTCCCATCCTGGTCCTCTTTCCTTGCGGCCACCAGAGTAACCTTTGAAAACAAACATCTGGCCATACTGCTGCTCAGATCAAGCCCATGCCTGGCGCTCCTTTGGAGATAACAAACCCCGCTGCCCAGCCAGGCTGGTGACCGGGCACCCGCCCTCCACTCTGCAGACCTGCCATGCCAGCTCCTGGGTTCCCTGCCCGGCTCAGGCAGCCCCAGGGCCTCTGCACAAGCTGCCCTGCCCTCCAGACATCTTGCCCACGTGAACCTACGGCCTGCGCCCTCTGGCCTTTAACAGCTGTTGACCTGTTGGGAGCCTGCTGACCCCCCACGTTTCCTCACCCCCTTCTTTCCCCATCACCCTGATTGCGGTCTTCATAGCACTCTGCATTGACTGCCACTTTCCTGTTTGTTCAACTCACTCATTCATGGTCTGTAGAAGTAGACAGAAAGCTTAGTGAGGGAAACGTCTCTGCTGGGTTCATGGCTGGGTCCCCAGGGCCCAGACACAGCAGGTGCTCAACACATGGGTGCAGAATGAATGCAGGAAGGTTCAGCAGCTCTGACTCGGGCACTAACAGTCCTCCCAGTCCCCGAAACTGGCTGTGACAAGGTCCTAAAGGCTCCTACACCTGGTTCTCGAACTGTGGCCAGCCTGAAGCGGCTGCCCCTCCTCTCAGGCCGGCTCAGACCCCGTTCTGGTCACCCTTCTTGCCCACACCTCTTGCCCAACTCTGTACTCTGTGCCTCTCCTCTCTGTACCTGGCTGGGGGCCCTGATGGAACCAGAGGACCCCGGCCCACCCAGGCCCCCAAGGCTGTGAGCCGTGGAAATGGCTCCCCCATCCACAGTCGTCTACACGGCGCCCACGAGCACTCACCCCCCCCAGGCCCCTGAGGCCTAAGGCTATGTGCTATGGACACCAGCCCCCAGGCCACCCACCTGCCCGCCCGCAGTCTGCACTGTACCCGTAAGTACTCACATTTTGATGTTCTCATGGTACTGCCGGGTGTCAGAGGGTTGATTGTACAACGGCTGCAAAGGAAGTGGATGGAGCACGTCAGAGGCAGCTGCCCAGGGCCACACAGCCACCACCCGCTGCAGAGCCCGGTGCCCATGTCCCTGTTCCAAAGAGCTGTGCACTAGCGTGAGTGGCCTGCCAGCAGCAGGTATGAATGCAAGACAGGCACCAAGAATGTGGCCCGGCCAGTAACAGGCTGTCACCTTCCAGGTGCCCTGCTGGCAACATCACCCCTGCCAAGGCCACCATGGCAGCTCTGCGGAGCATCTAGGAAGGCCAGCCCGGGCAGGACCCCCGGGACAAGCCCCACACCCTGAGAGCCAGGGCCAGGCCTCAGTCACGGCCACTGAGTGTGGAAACCACAAAATCCATGTCCAAACCACTGCAGTACACCACTCCACATCCACCAACCAGCAAAGGCTAAGAAAACTGAGTGATGTCAAGTGTTGGTGAGGACATGAGGTGACGAGAGACTCGCACGCAGCCGGTGAGGACGTCCAGGGATACACCATTCCAGAAAGCACCAGGGCAACCTGTGCTAAAGGCTGAGAGCACGCATACTCCGCGGCCCAGTGCCTCCGAGATGCCTGGACGTGCTCCCTGGGGGGTACATGCCGGGTGTCCAGAAACACCGTCCACGTCAGCAAGAACCAGAAGGAACTCAACGTCCCTTCCCCAGAAGCACAGAGGTCGGGATTCGTTTTACACAGGCCACGCAGTCAGCAGACACTAGGCTGCAAAGCACACACCACGGGGAGACGGGCCAGGTGCCGTGCACTCCCTCCCAACCGCCCTTAGGGACTAACGCACAGCAAGGTTTCAAATCCTGGGGCTGCTGCTCCCAGTGTGTCCCGGGGTGAGTCATTCAATCCACTGTACCACAGTGTGCTCACTGGGAAAATTGAGGTGCGCGCCCAATGAGGTGTGCCTGCTACAGCACAGGCAAGCGACTGGCAGGGTGGCGTGTCCGAGTCGCATTGGCAGTGTTCTCACCGTCGCGGTGGACTGGCTGCACTCACAGCTCTCTCCCACGCCTGCCTCGCCCACGCCCTAGCACTGGTCAACCAAACGCAGCAAACCAGACAAAAGCAGAGGCTTCAAAATGGGCCCCGGCTCCTACCCAGAGAACCAGCCGGGGCCGGCCTACTAGACGAGAGTAACGCTGGCAGCAGAGCGGGCCCGGCCCAGGCTGCCCAGAGTCACCAGCTGCCTCCCCGGCCAGGCCCAGCTACTCCCACGTCTGCCTGCTGTTCGAGCTGCAATGATCACCCCCATCTTACAGATGAGGAAGCTGCCGTCTGAGCCCAGCTCTGCTCACTTTCACCACCAAACCACACCACGCTCGTTTTCCCTCTTTGTGTTCCCTTAATATGTGGGCTCGTCCCCCTTACTCAGAACTTCTCTGTACACACTGTAACCTTGGCCTCTCTGAGAAGGGGACACGTTCGAGGTGGCCCTGAACTAGAACGCCGTCTCTGAGCCCCAGCTCTGGACCACGGGGTGCTCCCGTGTGTGTGCATGGCTCTCACACGCACCCCCTCCCGCACGCACACGCGCGCGCGCACACACACACACACACACAGCAGGAGGCTCTGAGGGCAGCCAGGTGTGACTGTGGTAGGAGAGCCAGGTACAGTGTGTGCCCGCCGATCAGGCAGGACAGACCAGGGAGAGACAGGAGCCTGACGTCTCAGCCTCAGGCAGGGCCACCGGGAAGAGAACGGGCTCAGGAGGCCAGCCTGCATGTCTCCCAGGGGATGAAGATGGACACACCTCCTGCCACCCACCAGCATCCTGATGAACCCCGTGTGTCAGATGGGCCCCCAGGCAGCCCCCTTCTCAGTAACAGGCCACCGGCTATCTGTGAACAGGGTGAGACCCCAGGAGGGACCTCTGCACGGGGTAGCATGGCCAGCAGCCTAAGCTGATGACCACATCACCTGCTTGCCACGCCCCCTTACCCCACTGTGCTAATTCACCGCTGACTTCAGGGGACTCCGACTCCAAGCTCAGCTACTCTCCTGGGGACAAAGGTGTCACCCCTCGGTTGGCACAAACCATGTCTCCACACACCGGGTTAGCCTGCCTCCCAAGGTGCTCAGGTCCAAGACAGGGACGCTTTCCCCACTCTCACCCTGGGGACTTGAACAGGAAGGAAAAGCAGGGCAGCTAGAGAGCCCACAGTCAGACTCACTGCAGAACTTCCCAGTGGAAAGAGGTGTTCAGATACTCCTGCGGAAGGTGGAGAATCCTCGTCTCAGTGGTGGTGAGAGGTCCTGCAAAGACGCCCATGTGCTGTTCAAGGCGCACTCTGGCCCTGTGTCTAACCCTGGATTTAGCTCAGCAGGAGGGCCTCTCCACGCCTCCTGTGCCAGGCAGGAGTGGGCACGGCCTGTGGGTTCAGGTTCCAGGAAGTGACTGGCCCTGATTTAAATGCTGGCTCCTCCTCCCTGGCCCACGTGACCTGAGACAAGTGACTCAACACTCTGGGCCTCAGTTTTTCTCACCTGTAAAATGGGCATGGAGCAAACAGGACTCTGACTGACACAGGACTCTGTGTTGAGTAGCCCATGAAATGCCAGGCTTGGCGTTTTGTTTGCTTTCCTCTGTTTGTAAAGGTGACAAATGACCACTTTTCCAGAGCCTCGGGGGCCAGGAAGGGGCTAAAGGACCACAATGTATGGGCCTCAGGAAACAAGAGACGGGGAGCAGGGGGCTAGGAAAGGGGAGACTAACTTTGGGAGGGCAGTGAGAGGCCCTGACCCCCCCCCCAGCCTGGAGGGAAGGGCACTGTCAGCTCGTGGGCTCCTCACTGTGTTCAAATGACAGATACCCCCTGGGGTAGCCTTCAGAAACTGGTACCCAAGGAAAGACCCCAAAGGAACAGAGCGATAAATACACCAGGGGGTTTGCCACCTCTGAACACAGAGGCCACTCGGGAAGTACTCCTTGAGGTGAAGCACGGCCTGGAGAAGAAGGAACTCAAGGGTGCAGAGCAGCGTAGGGAGGCCAATGTCACCACAGCAACGGGCCCCTCGGGCAGCCATCTTGGAAAGCCTGTAAGTTGGGCCTGGGGAAGTGGATTGTGGGGTGGGGCCCACTCAGGGGAGCACAGGGCCTGAGGGGATCTCTCCTAATCCCCCTCCTCCATGCCCACAGAGGGCTTGGCCATGGGTCAGGCATCTCCTTCCACCTAGGCCTGTGTCTGTCTCAGAAAGCAAGCCCCAATATGGCAGCCAGGAGGCAGGCCTCACGCATCACAGGCATGGCCGGCCTGCAGGGTTCAGGTCTCCCGCCTCTGATTACCTCACGGCTTTCCCCTCCTGCTAGAGGAACCAGCTCTTGAGAGAGAAAACTCCCTCCTACAGAGTCCCAGAGAGCTGACTGCGGGGAGCTGGGCCTGACCCAAAAAGCCCTACCTGGTGGGGTCACCTTGGGCCATCTCCTGCCCCCTCTAGGCCTGTACTTCCTCCTCCAGACAGGGGATGAAGGGAACCTGAGTGTGCAACAGGACCTGGGCAGAAACGAAATCTCAGTGTGACTGAGACAGAAGGGAGTCTTAAGGAGAAAGCAGGGGGGTCCCCCATCGGGCCCGACTTCAGGCCAGCTGGCAGGGTAATCAAGACCAGCGGTCACAGGCGGGCTGAGCTGGTAACAGATGACATGTCACCCGGCCACCAGCCCTCAGCGGCACTGCTATGAAAATAACACTCCGCACAGGAAGGAAACCCAGTGACTCACAGCAGAGGGGCCAAGCCGCGGCCACACACACCCGCCCTCGCGGCCCGCTCTCCCCGCGGGCCGTCTGGACCAGCTGGGGCTGCGGTCCTCACACTCTCGCGAGCCTGGAAGCCCACTTGGCAGCTCTGGAGCCATTTCCTCTTCCTCCTGGTCACAGGGCTTCACTGAGCAGCTTCCGTGGGTCCTCAAAGCAGCCTCACCCTGGGCTGAGCACCCCGGTCATGCCCTGAGGCTGTGATGGGAGGGTATGGGGACTGGATGGGCCCCCGTCACCAGGTGCGGCCTGGTGCCCATGCCGTGGGCCCCGCAGAAGCTGCACCTGGACAATGTTCTGCAGGACAGCTCTAGCCACTCAGGCCCTGGGGAAGCCACAAAAGCCAGTGCAGAAGAGTCAGCTGCCCACTGTGGGCTCAGCACTGAGCCCACACCGTGTGGCTCCAGGCTCCGCCCGTTCCGAGGCTCATGCAGAAAACAGGCAGTGAAGGCCACACAGCTGCGCCTATCACGTACACCCAGTGGGGGCCCTGCCCTCTCCCTACCCAAAAAACCCACCAAGCAAAGGGCCTTCTGGCTTTTCCAGGACTCTGAGAGCCACCTAATACTCCAGACCCCAGCCCTGGGCCACCAGTCTTGACAGAGACCCTGTTCTGAGACCCCAAGAGGAGTGACTCCTTCACCCACAGAAACCAGAGAAGATGCACTGAGTACCTCCAACCACAAGACCTCGGAGACCCACAGCGCCCTCCGCCTGGCTCCTGCCGGCCCCAGGGCTGCTGTCTACAGCATCAAGGGACTTCACTCAGTCAGCTGCTAGAAACCCAGACTGATGAGGTCACAAGTGGGCAGGGAGCCTTGAGGGCCTGGGACAATCATTACCACATCTAACCCCACCATTCCCATTTCAGAAACGGGACACTGAGGTAAGAAGGAGCTTGCCAGTGGGAACGTGAAGTGGTGCAGCTGCTTTGGAAACAGCCTGGCAGGCCGTCAAAAGCCTAAATGTGGAATTTCCGTACCAAAAAAAACCAAACCCACTGCCGTCGGGGAGATCCGACTCATAGTGACCCCTCCCTGGGTTTCCGAGGCGGAATCACTATGGAAGTAGATTGCCCAACCTTCCTTCCGAGGAGTGGCTGGTGGGTTTGAACTGCCAGCCTTCTGGCTATCAGTCAAATGCCTTAGGCACTATGCCACGTGACCAGTAATTTCCAAGCACATACACCCAGGTCCAGACTTGAGGGATACGTCTCCCAGGTCCACACTCAAGAGAAATAAAACCTTTGTCCACACAGACACTTGTACGCAAACGTTCACAGCAATCCTATTCCCAACACCCAGGAAGTGGGAAGAACCCAAGGATCATCGATGGCTGAGTGGGTAAACACAGCGTGACCCACGCGTGCAATGGAGTATTACTCAGCCGTAAAGAGGATGAAGTCCCGATGCATGCTGGAGCCCTGACGAGCCTGGAAGCCGTCACGTTGCTGAACGGAAGAAGCCAGACACAACACACACTGGACGCTTCTCCTAGTGTGAAATGTCAACAGGCCAATCTACAGACAGAACGTCAACATGTGGTTGCCAGGGGCCTGGGGCAGGAGGAGACAAATGGGAAGTGACTGCCTAAAGGGGATGAGGTTTCATTTTGGGGTGATGGAAATATTCTAAAAATGACTGTGGTGATGGCAGCACAGATCTCTAAAGAGACTAAAATCACTCAACTGTGCGCTGAAATGCGCAGGCTGTGTGGTACGTGGATGAGATCTCAGTAAAACAGTTCCTCAAAAATGAGGACACCTGTAAGGATCAGGCCCAGCAGGGAAGCAAGATCCCAGGATGGGACCCTGCGTCCAGGCCCTGAAGAGGCACGCCCAGGAAGGGGAGGAGCCTGCCAGAGCAGAGGGGGGCCAAGCGAGGTTCCGGGGCCCTGCCCACAAGCTGCAGGAGCCCAGCCTGTGCCTGCCTGTCCCTGCCCCTGGGAAGACCTGGGAGGCAGTGACCAGCCAGCCACCCACTGTTGCTCAGTGTCTGAGCAGAGGGACCCCAGGCAGGGAGGCGGCCCCGGCTGCTGCAAACCAAGTGACGTGCATTAAGCCCTGGGGAGCACAGCAGCCCTTCCCATCATCAACAGTCAGCACCCCAGCTGCTCCCAGTTCCTGAGTTCCCGCTCAGGACACAGTGCTGGGCCAAGGGAACTGTCAAAGGTAGATCCCTCACAGAGATCCCTGCAAGCTCCTACCAATGCTCCCATTTCAAGGTAAGACTGAGGCTTCCAAGGTCACCCACCAAACGTGGTACAGCTGGGTTTAATGTCAGGTTCCAGACACAACCCTTTTATTTTCACCCCACATCCCCGGCACACCCAGCACAGGCACTTCCAACCCACCTGCACACACTACAGCTCAGGGGGGTTGCTGCCTGGCCCTGTGTTCTCTTGAGGCTGGGGCTTTTTTTTTTTTTTTTTTGGGGGGTGAAAGTTTACAGAGCAAGTTCATTTTCGATACAGTAGCTCATACACATTTTGTTTTCATGTTTAAGGCTACAGTCAACTCAAAATTGTATTTAAAGTTATTATTTCATATTAGTAACTGATTATATTCAATTAAATGAATCATCTAAAAAAATACTTTAGTATTGAACGTTGCAGACACAATAAAAGCAAATGTGAAGTGAAACAGGAAACAAAATACGCTGGGGTCGACCTTGAACTCGCGAAATCGATGTTGCACAATCTTCATTCTGCACGTATCCATTGAAGTCATATGCTCACGAACCAGCACACGCCAACACTAGGCGTGAGAGTGGCACACTAGCAAGCAGTCAGCCTCATTTTCAAACAACCTGATTAGAAGTCAAGCTACCGTGCTGGCCAACGGCTGTACAAAACCCTAACGGAGCTGCTTCTAAACATGATTTCCTCATAAATCCTTTGTCACCCACCCCCAGGCAGGAGACTCCAGAACCACCGGCTAGGAACTGCCAGGCTCCCCAGTCTGAGAGAGAGGAGGCTGAGGTCTGTTCCCCAGCTCGGTCATGGCCACGGCATCTCGTCAGTGAAACGACAGTGGCCCCAGTAACAACAGTGACAGTAGCTGGCACACAGCCCTGAGTGTGGGCCAGGCCCGGCTCTCAGTGCACAGCAGAGATAACCTCAGCTAATCCTCGCCCCAACCCAATGGGGAGGTGTTCCCATCAGCCTCATTTACAGCTAAGGAAACTGAGGCACAGGGCCGTTACGAGACCTGCTCAGTACCCCTGACCACTCGGGCAGACGGCGGAGTGGAGCCCCGAGGCGGGCTTTCAAGGTGGAGCCGGCACGGATGGTTCCACGGCACACAGCCCAGTCTGCCTGTGGTCCCACTGGCAGGACCCGCCTGGGGCCAGCAGCCCTCACTACCCGCCCCTGCTGTGTGCCCAGCCCTCTTATCAGAGGGTACGCTTCCTGCTCCTGGAGACCAGCCACCCTGGGCAGCTCTTGGCAACACGGGACTTCCTCCTGCCTCTCCCCACCCACCTGCCACCCTGCCTGCCTCTCCAAACCGCCCCCCAGCATTCCACCCTGCACCCCAACTCACCAGCTCCACCTGAGGCCCCAGGCCTTCCAGGATCCGATGTGCAGCTTCTGCCTTCTTCTGCAGAGTGGAGGAGTGGGGAGGAGAGGAGAAAACAAGACACAAGACACATTATAAACAGAGGCCTCCCAGGATGGCAGGCACCCGCCCAGCCCCTCTGAGCCCTGCCCGGCTGGGCAGGGCCACTGAGTCTAGGGTTAACACACGCACCATGTGCTCTGGGCAGCCCCCCACCCCTGCCCCGACTCCCCAGGCCGAGGATTTGGGCAGAGCTCCTGTGGGTCCACAGCCAGGCTTGCCGGGCCTGCGATGTCCGCCTGCATTCAGAAGGCTGGTTGGGTTAACTGAGATGACCTCAGACCTGGTTCAGCCAGCGAGGCGGCCAGGAGGGGGAGGGAGGTGCAAGGGAGGGCTCAGAGAGACCTTTCTAGGGTTCTCGGCAGCCCGGGCCTCCGCCTCCTGCCCCACGCACAACAGGACTTGTTAGGAAAGCAGAGCCGTGGGGCAGGAGGCGCGGTTGGCCGCCAGCCCAGCTGCTGCACCTCGGGCCCTCACCCCAGCACTGCTATGAAGGGGGCATTGTGCCACGCGGGCCCCAGCCTGGGACCACCAGGGCCTGCCAGAAGCTGCGGGGGGACTGGGAAGGGCGGACAGAGGGCTGTGAAGAGCTTTCACTGGGGGCTTTGTAGGGCCGGTTCAGGCGCTGATGGCCGGGGGCTCAGGCCGCACGCGCTGAGCACCAGATTCTGCTGCAGCGGTCCACGAGCGGAGAGCTCAGGCCCTGGGTGGTGACATCACTGCCTTGCTGGACCCAAGGCCTGCTGGCTTGTGACGGGGGCCGGGAGGGTAGGTCCAGCATGTCAAATCGATACCATACCCCAGCGGTCCCCAACTCCAGAGTCAGGGTGCCTCACGGGGTGCAGGGACCAGCCTCACTCCCCCAAGCCCAGCCCCTGGCGACAGAGGAGGTATGTCGGTGAGCTCAAGCTGGCACCTAGAACGAGCTCTGCCTAGAGCCCAGGGCCCAGCCCACCTAAGACCAGAAGCCATGCTCTCGGCCCCTGTGCAGAGCCCAAACCCGGAGGCCAGCAGCCTCAGAGTGGGGCTGGGGCCCCCAGTCGGGGAAGTTACCGCTGTTATCATTACTATGACGGTGGCCATTTGACTGGGCGAGGGGCACACAGCCTGGCTCACCAAATGTAAGGTCACATAAGCTCCATGCAAGGCCGAAACAAGTAGTGTGCCCGTTTTACAGATGAGGAAACTGAGGCACAGAGTGGTGATGTGAGGGAGAAGCCCTTCCATCTCCAGGCTCTAAGAAGGTAGAAAGTCAAGGGCCAGGTTGCCTCCAGGGCAGTCCCTGGGCTCGGGACGGGGGTAGCAAGGGCAGGTCACCCCAGAGAGTCACCCCGGACCACCTCCGCCCACCGCACCCTTGAAGCAGGGTAGTATCAGTCGTGGGGTCCTGAAGATGGGAGAATGCCCAAGCCAGGCCAAGCAAAGGACTGGACATGGGTAGGGTGGGGGCGGAGTGGCTCCCCCATTGTTTCCCGAGCACCCATTCTGCACTGGGCACCTGGGAGAGGGTGGAATGAATGAAACTTGGTCCCACCGGCATTCAGCTCAGTCTAGTGGGTGCGTGGTCAGGAGCAGTCAGGGCAGAGCCGTCTGCCCAGGCAGAGAAAGGACCATGTGGAACATGGTGGAGACCCAAGCGGGGCACCGCTCACTCTCCAGAGAGCTAACAGAAGGGTTACGGAAGCTGGGTTTTGAGGGATGAACAACAGTTTGCTGTGTGTTCATCACGAGGCTCTGACCCCCGAGAAGCTGCCCCTCTAGATGAAAGGATGGTGGGGACAACAGCAGCTGGGCCACCTGACGCCACCGTGTCACAGGCATTTTCCTCCTGGCTGAGCTCCTCCCAGCCAAGGCCGGTTCAGGAAGTCTGTCAGATGAACGACAGGGAGTCCCATCTTCATCAACATCCTCCACATCTCAGGAACACGGGTCCCCAGAAAGGGGGCTTCCTGCAGCCCCTGTGAAGGGAGTGGGGACAGAACCTTCCAGCTCCTCACAGCCAGCTCTCCATCCATAAACTGCCCCAAGAGCCTCTCTGCTCCCTAAGGGGCCTTCCTCTGGCTCCCCTTAGAAGCCTCAGACTCCCCTGAGGCCTTTTAAAACATGACTCCAAAAGGTGACACACCCACAATTTATCCAGGAGAACCCTGTTATGAAACAGTCTAAAGACGTCATGATATTGAGGGTCCATATAGCACAGTGGTCGAGAGTCTGGGCTCTGAGGCCTGAGGCCTGGGTTCAAACCCACTGACTGGCAGGGTAGTCGCAGGCAAGTCTCTTCACCTCCCTGACCCTCAGTCTCCTCATCTGTAAAATGGGGATAATAACTGCACCACCCCACATGCTGTTAGGAGAATTAAAGGAACAGAAACGTGCAACAGTTTAGAGCCAGTGGCTGGTCAGTGCCGTGGAAGGGCTGGCTATGGACAATGCCAGACCACGGCTCACCGCGGCTGACCCAGCACGCCACACCCTGCCCTAGAGAGCGCTGAGTGCTCCTGTACTTGACCTTACAAGGACCCCACACAGAAGGTTCTGTCATCAGCCCACTGAGAGATGAGGAAGCTGAGGCGTGGGTTATGCAACCGGCCCTTAGTGTGCCTCTCAAGTGGCCGGGAAGGGCTGGAACCCGGCAGGCTGAATTGCCATGCCCCCGCCTCCCCGCCAGACCTCTCTGTGGTGGGCCAGGAGGGCTCCAGGTGCTGGCAGCAGGGTCAGAGATCAAGGGGACCCAGCACCCACCCGGGAAGGAGGAAGAGACAAGCCCCCACTGTGCCCAGCCACAGGGGGCCACAGTCTCTAAGCATCAGGGCACAGGTGAAGTCGGAGGACCGGTTCCATAGAAGAGCCACCAGTCATGTGAGGGAGCAAGGAGCAGGAGCTACCCAGGTCAGCTCCCAGAGGACCAGCCTGGAGACCCAGCGGGTGGGAGTGGGGAGCAGGACACGTGCCGGTGGCTCAAGGCAACAGGGCCTGCTTGGGCAAGCCGGGCTCACATGGGGTCTCTCTCGAGAGATGGCGTTCCTATGGGGAAGGCCAGGGCCTGTGCAGCCCAGCCTCAGAGGGCCAGAGAGCTCGGGGGACTCGGCCCAGGGTGAAAAAGGCCTGAGTCGCCTGCATGGACCACTTACGTACACCGAGATCTGTGGACACACACGTCCATACACACGCCCCCCCATGCCAGCTCACATCCACTGCACACACATGTATGCCCACACACGTCTATATGCCACCCACCCACAAGTACCCACAGGAACACAAGCACACGTACAGATGCAGGTAAACATACACGTGCCCCACATACTGACTCTCATCTACTACACACACACATATGCACATGCAACACACCCAGAAGAACACAGGCATATGTAGATGTACAAATACAGGTAACCATACACATGCCCGACAGCTCACATCCACACACCTACATGTACACGTCATGCGTGTGTGCCCACATAAAGGCTGGTATAAACACATGTGCCCACACATGCCAGCTCACACGTTCACATGACCATCATACCCATGTACCCATGCACGGATGTGTAAATAAATGCAGACTCATTTACCATGCACAAAATCACACACGCATGCACATAGCCATCCAATGGTACCCACACATGCATGTGCTGATGTGCTGACATGCACAAAGCCATCCACAGGTACACACACACGCACACACACACACACAGCCATCCACAGGCACACACCCACGTGCACACCCACGCAGCCATCAAGCACACACACATAGCCATCCACAGGTACACACATGCACACACAGCCATTCACAAAGCACACACACATGCAACACAGCCATCCACGGGTACACACACAGCCATCCACCTACGGTACACATACCCACATGCACACAGCCATCCACAGGCACACACACCCACACATGCACACCCACACAGTCATCCCCAGGCACGCACACACAGCTATCCCCCAGGCACACACACACATGCACACAGGCATCCCCAAGCACACACACTCACACATGCATGCAACAAGCCATCCACAGGTACACACACACACATGTACGCAGACACAGCCATCCACAGGTACACCACACAGCCACCCCCAGGTACACACAATCACACACGCACGCACACACAGCCATCCCCAGGCACACACACTGATACATGCACGCCCACACAGCCATCCAGACACCCACACCCACCCACACACACAGCCATCCACAGGCACACACTCACACACGCATGCACACACAGCCATCCACAGGTACACACACACAACCATCCACAGGCACACACACATGCACAAGCCATCCACAGGCACACACTCACACACGCATATACACACAGCCATCCACAGGTACAAACCCACACACATGCACACACAGCCATCCACAGGTACACACACATGCATGCATGCACACAGCCACCCACAAGCACACACAGTCACAGATCCTGGCGTTGCCCTTGTAGAAGGCACAGACCCTCACACTCGGACCACCCCCTGGCCTGCACCTGACCTCAGAGGCGCCGATCCAGCTCTTCTGCAGCCCACCCTGGCCGAGCCCAGGCTCACTCTTCTTATCTGCAGAGAGGGGGCAACACCCCCCTAGGGAGCCCCAAGGGCCCAGCACCGCTTCCACACCATGTCCACAGCCTTCCACCGGCTGCCCAGCCCTTCTGGGAAGTAGGCCACCTCTAAGGGTCAGGTCCTCATCTGTCCCCTGGGCCCAATGGGGGGGTCCAGAAGCTCTCACAGCGTGTGATTAGTAAGACAAGGGGTGGAGCAGGCTTCGGGGTTTGTGTCTCAGATCTACTGTGTGTGGGTGCAGCCTGGAGAAGCCCTGGACCCCAGGAGCCGTGACTCCAGCCCAACACTTGAGATGTCGGGGCTCAGGGTGAGGCTTATGCTGCCTCCTGCAAACCCTAATCCCAATGCAGGGAGTGCTGACGCGCCCCCCCCACAGGCTTCCAGGGCGCCTGGACCACAACATGTGCGCCCATTCCTTGGGGTCTGCAGGTATCGGAGACAGTGCGACTCACCCTCACCCTACGCCGCTAGAAACATCACTGCTAAGATGTTTAAATCCATGACAAGGGCTGGGGTCTTATTTCACTGGCCTCCTTATCACTCAGCAACGAGTGGCCTCTGATTTCACTGAGCCTTCCAAACAGGCCCCAGACGTCGCCACTAGAAATGCACCTCTCCTTCCTCCAGTGGTACCCATGGTGCAGACTGAGCTGGAGTCTCACCTCCTCCAGGAAGCTTCCCTTGACTGCCCCATCCTCACTGACTCCCAGGACCCAGATGACTCCCATAACTACGATCTACACCTCACAGCTGGGCCTTCACGTGGACACACTCCCTATTGTGCCCTTGGTGTCAGCCTGACCCAAATTCAAAGGGGGAGGAGCCTCCAGAGCTGCCAAGCCCCACCCCCCTAGGAGGTCAAAGGAGACTGGTGCATCCCTCTCATGATCTGCCTGGGCCCTGAGCCCTGTGGGATGCCTCCCCTACCACGCCCACTGCTGCCTTGTCCACACGGGCACACCTGGGCAGCTGGCAGAGCCACTCAGCTGCCCCGGACATGCCCCACAGCACCGCATGGAAGATCTGACCGCACACACGAGGTGCCTCGACACGCCCCACAGCCCCGCACGGAAGACGTGACGTGACGCTCACACGCCCAGCCTCGATGCTCTACAGCCCCGCACAGAAGACCCAGGCTGGCTGTGCCTGGCAGGGAGCTGGTCGGCCAGCACAGAACTCAGGGGCTTAGAGTCAGAGCCTGGGAATCCGCCCCACAGAGGACGCAGAGGGAAGGCCGGGGTTTAAAATGTAACCCTGTTGATCCCTCAAGGGGCAGGAGGGAGTCCTGCCCACCCGGCCTCCCAACCTCAGAGGCTCAGCCCTGGCAGAGGGGCCCTGCTAACCCCCAGCCCCACCAGGAGGCCAGTCTCCATGTCCCAAAAACCACACACTCGGTCATTCAACAAATATTTAATGAGCACCAACTCTGTGCCAGGCAGGGGTTTAGGTGCTGGGGCACAGCCAGGAATATGAGTGAGAGAAGCCCTGGGCTCAGGTGGTCCCCACTCAATCAACAGAATAAATGAGGGCCACGTGTCATCTCCTGGGGGCACGGTGCTAAGAATAGTCAGCAGAGGGCAGGGGTGGTGGCGTTCCAGGGTTGGCCACTCAGTCAGGCCTCGCTGCACAGGGGTACTTGAGCAAAGCCCCATGGGTGGCAGAGGGGGCTGTGCATGCTGGGAAAGGCAGAGCAAAGCAGTGCAAAGGCCCCGGGGCCAGAGCACACTGTGGGCCGGGGGTGGGCAAGCGGATGAACCAACAACAGGACCCCCAGCAGACCTCAGTTTACCAGGCACTATCTGCTCTTCAGGAGCTCTGGTAGCATAGTGCCTAAGGCACTTGACTGCTAACCAGACGGCTGGTGGTTCAAACCCACCAGCCACTCCTTGGAAGGAAGGTTGGGTATTCCTACTTCCGTAGTGATACTGCCTCAGAAACCCAAGGAGGGGTCGCTATGAGTCGGGGCCAACTCGATGGCAAATAACAACAACAACAACAACATCTGCTCTTCAGGAGCTCTGGTGGTGCACTGCCTAAGGCATCTGACTGCTGACCAGAAGGCTGGTGGTTCAACCCACCAGCCACTCCTTGGAAGGAAGGCTGGGTAATCTACTTCCATAGTGATACCACCTCGGAAACCCAAGGAGGGGTTGCTGTGAGTCGGATACAACTCGACTCGACTTGTCAGCAGTGAGTTTTTTTTTTTTTTTTTTTTTTAGTATCTGCTGTTTCAGAAGCTCTGGAAGAGCAGTGTCTAAGGCATCTACTGCTAACCAGAAGGTTGGCGGTTCAAACCCACCAGCCACTCTGCCGAAGGAAGACTGGGCCATCTACTTCTGTAAAAATTTACCGCCTCGGAAACCCAAAGGGTCGCTATGAGTCGGAATCAACTCAATGGCAGCGTGTTTGGTTTTTGGTTTATCTGCTCTTTAGACCCCTAGGAACCAGGTTCAAGTCCCAGCTCCACCACGAGCTAGCTATGAGGCTAGGCTGCAGGAGTGAGTGGAGTCAATATTGGCACAAACATCAGGGGAATGGTAGGAGGAACTCAGCGTAACGGGCGTAAAGGCCCAGGTTGAGGGGGCCAGTCAGGGAGAAGGACTACCTCTGATCTCCCCCAGGGAGAAGCCCCTCCTCTAGTCTCAGTCCCCAGGGTAAAGAATGAGGTGAGGCTGACCTAGCAGTGTAGTCAATCCCCCCCGGCCTGAGTACTGGCTCAGAAATGGGCCTGCGAGTCCAGCCAGCCAATGAGGGTCAACTCTGGGACTGCTGCCAACACGACTGGCCCAAGCAGCTTCCTCTCTGCCCCAGGAGTCCAGTGGGCAGATGAGACAGGTGCTGCCTGTCCATTTCTCCAGGACCTGTGAATGACAGCGGCACCAAGAAACCAGAGAGGAGGAAGGCAGTGCCTCTGGACAACTTCACTTGACCACCTGGCCCTCCCACACCTGACGCAAGCTAGCAGCACCCTTCCATGATGAGGCTCCAGCAACTGCTCTTTAACCTCAGCCAATCAGAGCCGAGAGTCGCACCATTTACAAACCCCTGGAGCCACACCTCAGCCACGTCAACCCCACAACCTCAATCAGGCGGCCAGGGGCCCAGAGCACTTAAGGGACTGGCTCTAAACACCGCAGCTCATCAGGGCACAGGCTGGACGGGAACCCCAGCCCCCAGTGCCTCACTCACCCAGAAGCTGCCCAGAACCTGTGGCCTGATGGGCACGGCGGCCACACTTGCAGGAGACTACCCAGGTGAGACCCACGAGGAGGATCTTAACCAGCATTAGGAGCCGCAGACCTGCAGCCCCAGCGTCCTGGGCACACTTAGTGGTGGAGACGGGGACCCTCATGCTACGGTTCAGAGGAACCCCAAGGAAATGGGGGCCAATAGCTGGGGGGGCAGGTAGAACAAGCTTCCCACAAGGGATGCCAAAGACCCATGGTTTTGAGTCTACTTGGCTGGGGGCACTGGGAGCCCAGCCAGCGGTCAGCCTCCTGACACCGACAGACTGAGCCTACAGTGAGAGACAGGTAACTACAGTGACAAACTGAGCACAGCTCCAGGCCACGGCCTCTACAGCTGGGAGGACGGACAGACAGAGGCGACGACTCGGGTGGACTCTCAGGAAGGCTGTCCCTCTCCCCTCCACCAAAGGCTCCTGGAACAGCTCAATCTTGGCTCTGAGTGCCAGCCTCAGTGCTCACTTGCTGTGCAATCTCTGGCAGATCACTCACCCTCTCTGGGCCTCAGTCTCTTCATGAGTAAAATGGAGAAAACAATGCTACCTATTCCATGCAGGTCTGGTGAGGGTTACATGAACTCCCACAAACCACAGGCAATGAGAACCCAACAGCCTTGATGGAGCAGCAGCAGCAGAAACAAGGCTTGTCCGGTGCCAGGCACCGTGCTATGAACGCCTAACCCACCAACCACACGAGGTAGGTGCTATCACTACCATCAGTCCACGGGGAAGTGAACTGTTCAAGGTCACAGAGCCAGAGAGTGACAGGTGGAACTGGGGACACCTAGCCCTAGAGCCTTCCAGGCTGGCAGGCTGGGGAGCACGGGGCGTCTCCTACCCTTCCACTGCTATTACTGGTACTGGGGTGGGGAGGGGTGCCGAGTCTTGCTGCCCCACCCTGCAAGGCCCAGCACAGACGCTCCTGGCTGCCCACTCTCAGGCTCAGCCCGCGTCACGGTGCTGCTTCTAGAGCTGGGGAAGCTGGCCCAGCAGTCCTCCTCCTGGAGTCCCTCCCACAGACACCAGATGCACCTCGCCATCCAACCCTGGCACTGGGCTGACCGGGGCAGAGTCCAAGGCAGAGACAGCAGGAAGGGGCCCAGGCACCCCAGGCAGGGGAGGGATCCGAAGAGTCGAGGCAGGGAGGGGAGGTGCCCCATCCATCACACGTCACTGTGTCACTGAGACACGCTCTCAGCCTCGGTTTCCCCATCCGTGAAATACGGAAGGGGGCTCAGCACCCACAGACCTCGAGCACACGTGCAAAAATGGACTTGAGATCATGGACACAAGCTCACGGCAGCCTAACTGGGAGGCTGGAGCTCACGACCCCGCCAGATACTGGATTCCAACTCAGAGCAGCCCAAGTTCCGCCCCAGCAGCAAGCCCTCTCCAGCCCCCCAGCAGCTACCCCTCCCAGGGTCTTCCTGGGACCCCCAGCCTGCTCCAGACTCTGTGTTCCAACCATTCAAAGGGCCCTTCTGGTAAAGAACCAGGCCCTAGAGTCTGACAGCCACCAGTTCAAATCCCAGGTCTAGCCCTTCTAAGCTGTGCAACTCTGGGCAAGTAGCTTAACCTCTGTGGCCTCCGTTTCAGTATGTTTTCATGTGTCAAATGGAGACAGCCACCCTACCTCCCCCTCCTAGGAACTGTGTGTGAGGGACCCGGGCCACCACCTGGCAGGGAGGAACAGCTCACTAGCATCCCTGATGATGAGGATGATACTAACACCTTCTGTATTACAGGACACCCCCCCAAGCTCATGAACTAGCCCCTGATGCTCTCCTAGAACCCGCTGCACCCCACAGGCCAGAGCTCTGCCCACACCGGTCCCCACCGAGCAGAACCGTGCCCAGCGGCCACACCACTCACTCAGACCACCCACTCACAAACCGGCCTGGGGACAGGAGCATCACTGAGGTTCCATTTTGCAGATGGGAACACTGAAGCCCAGAGGGAAGCCCGGGCCCTGAGGCGGCATCTGCCCCCTCCTGGCGGTGAGAGCAGGGACGCGGCAGAAGGTGGCTGCCACGGGGCGGGGGGAGGGGGGTGCACTCAGCGGGCGGGCGTACCCGGTTCTCGTCGTAGATGATCTGCACCAGGCTGCGATGTTTCGACTCGATGGGCGGCGGCGACACGGGCTTCTCGGGCTCGGGCGGCTTGGCGGCCTCCTCCTCCAGCTGTTGCTGTGGGAAGCAGAGAGTGTGAGCAGTGAGGCGGCAGCGGCGGGCGGAAGGAGACGCAGGTTCCCAGCCGCAGCAGGCGGCCCCCTTGCAGCCCAGCCTGGTGGCCACGCACAGGAAGTCAGGCTACTAACCATTTCCTCTGAGTCAGCCCTGGGGACTCCGTGCCCTGGAGCAGGCCCCCGCTCCCTCGTGGAAGGGCCCAGCCCAGGGGCTGACTCCAGCCTCGAGGCTCTGACGCTACCCTTCCTAGGTTCAAATCCCACCTCTGTGCCTTTCCAGCTGGGCGAGGGTAAGCAAGCAGCTGAACCTCTCCGTGCCTCACTTCTCCCCTCTGTGAAACGGGACCAAGCATCACGCCTCCCCTCCACCTTCACATGGTGCCGGGAGGGGTCAAATGAGTTAACTCGGGCCAGGAGCACAGAATCCACCAAGAGTCAGCCACTATTACTACCACGGGCATCGTTGTCAGGACAGCCAGTGCGGACTCAGGGCCCAAACTATCCAGGTTAGAACCCTACTTCACCTACAGGAAGTTGCGGGACTTACGTGAGCCTCGCTTTCCTCGTCTGGAAAATGGGGGCAAATCCCGCCCCCACCTGCCAGAGCACACAGAGCGCTCAGTGCCCAGCACACAGCAAGTGCCCGGTCGCCAGCTCATCCTTACCATCTCCTCACTGTCCACCCTGTGCCCTTCACACTGAGCCCTCTTCCTCCAGACACTTGGAAAGCACAATTGTCGGTGGCACCAGATGTTTTTCCCCAAAGAGAAACTAAAGACCAGAGAGGCTAAGACCATGGCCCAAGGTCACACAGGAGGCAAATGAATGTCTACATCTGCAGCCTGACAGGGCACGGCAAATGAGGCTGGGACCCGCAGGAGCAGACCGTCAGGAACTTACAAAGATGCCAAAAGGAGGGCAATGCAGAAGGAGCCAGAAAATGCAGAGGCCTGGCTGGCTTTAGAGCCAACCCTGTCGCCCAGGTCTAGGGAAAGCCTGGCCGCTTCAGTGAGCTACCACAGGCCTCCAGAGACCCCTGATGGCAGCTTCTGGAAGGACAGTCAGCACTTCGCCAAACACCATCAAATAGCGATTCCCATAGCAACTCTGTATGATGGAGAAGTGCCCACCCACAGGGTTTCCTGGGCTGTGAATCTTTATGGAAGTGGATTGCCAGGTATTTCTTCCATGGAGCCACTAGGTGGGTTTGAACTGCCAACCTTTCGGTTGGCAGCCAAGTGTTTAACTGGAGCACCACCAAGGCATCTTGGCAAAATTCTACCAGCTCCCAAAAGTGCATAGTAAACAAAGGCAGACAGTAGAAGCAGGCAGCCAGCAAGGGCGTGCAGCAAGGAATTCCCAACACTCCAGCCTCAGAGGAAAACACACACAGGACACATACTGAGCTAAGACAGCAAGGTGAAGCTCTGTATTAAAGAAAATAGAGCAAAACCATTGCCACCAGGTTGATTCCGACACACAGCGAGTCGTGTGGCCTAGGAGAACCGCTCCACGGGGTGTGCTTGGCTGCAGTCCTTACGGGATCAGAGCACCGGGCCTGCCTTCTGCAAAGCGGCTAAGCCGGTGCCAGTATTTAATTTAGCAGCCAATCACGAACTACCTGCACCATCCAGCGTCCTCATTCAAGGCACAACTCACTAGCTGTGCAGCCACAGGCAAGTCACTAGCCGTCTCTGAGCCTCAGTGTCTTCCTCTGAGACCCAGGAAGTCATAATACCCATCACTTATGGCTGCTCTGAGGCGTGAAGAAGGTAACGCAAGGCCTCATCTCCCCTGACCCTAAGACCACAAGAAGTACATGGTGCCTGGCTACCCTCCTGACCATCAGGGCCAGGGCTACTATGGATGGATCCTGACAGAACGGAAGAAAAATGGGGAACAGGACCTTGGAAAAAAAAACAAGACCTACTGGATGGGTTGAAACCAGAGGACTCTTCAAACCTCGAACCAAAATTAACCTGAGGTCACCTTGTAGTCGAATAACACACAGGCTCAAGAAAGAATAAACTGTTAATCCATCTACAGGTAAATAGACGGGTAGACAGACCGAGTGAGCAAGTACATCTAGGCAAAGGGAATATACCCATGACCATATATAAGGCTGGCAGATGACATTTCCACATACATATTTGTACACGTTTTAAGAAAGTCCGTATAAACAGAACAGAGAACAAAGTTATGATAATTTCTTGGCCACAGTCAACCACCCTGATGGAGCCAGTTGTTGGACCTGTGGGTTGGGGACCATGGTCATGAGGGACGTCAAGCTCAATTGGCATAACATACTACACAAAACCATTGTTCTACATCCTACTGTGGTGAGTAGCGACTGGGGTCTTAAAAGCTTGCAAGCAGCCATCTAAATGCAATGATGGGTCTCTCCTTGTCCAGAGCAAAGAAGAATGAAGAAAACCAAAGACACATGGAAACAATTAGTCCAAGGTACTAGTGGATCATGAGAACCTCAGCCTATCTGACCCTGAGACCAGAAGAACTAGATGGTACCCAGCTACCACTGTCAACCACTTAGAAAGGAATCGGTGCAGAAGACCCCAGATAGAGTGGGAGAACAAGGTGGAACTAAACTCAAATTCATAAAATAAAAGACCAGGTTTACTGGTCTGATATAGAGCCTGGTGGAACCCCTGAGACCATGGCCCCAAATTACCCTCAGGTCTGGAATTGAACCCACTCCTATGGCACTCAGTCAAACAAAAGACAGGCATATAGGGTGACCATTTAAACCAGGCAGACACCCTCCTTAGAAGGATCAATCATGAGAACAGAAGGGCAGTGTTTGCACAGGGAGATAGGTCAGGGGGCAGGAATGCACAGGAAAGAAAGACACAGGGAAGAGGTAACTACACGGAAGAAGTAGGGAGAGAGCTGTTACACTGTGGGGAATGGCAGTCAATGTCATGAAACAAAATGTGTATGAACTGCTGTGTGGAAAATGAATTTGCTCTGTGTGGAAAATGAATTTACTCTGTAAAACTTTCACCCAAATCACAATAAAAATTTTTTAAAAAAGGAAATAATGAACTTATCATCCGTAAGTCCTGTGCTCCTAGAAAAGATCACCTGCATGATCAAGAATGACTGGAAAACCCAGAGGAGAGGTAAGGGGCAGGGAAGCTAGGTTAATAATGGAAACCAACCACCAGAATGCAAATAAGGAGAAAGTTCACGCATCGTCAGAACATAACCAAGGTCACTGAACAACTTGTGGAGAAACTGGGGAATGGGCCCCTAAACTGCTGTATAAACCTTCATCAAAAGCACAATAAAATATTAGTACTAAAAAAAAAAAAAGGAGATAATGCAGAAAAACTCCTGGCCCACAGCTGGGGCTGGATAAAATACTGGTATCTGATCCAAGTCAAACCCCAACGAGATACCACTTCACACCCACTGGGAAGACTACGATCAAGAAGACCGGAAACAACCAGTGCTGGCGTGGATGTGGAGACCTGGAGTCGCACACGGCCAGGGGGACCGTGAACGACGCCTGAGCTGTGGGAGACAGTCTGGTAGGTCCTCCCACAGTCCAGCACAGAGCTACCGTACAACCCAGCCATTCCACTCCTAGCGCAGACCCACAGACTGGACACAGGCATTCCTAGCAGCACCAGCACAGCAGCCAAAGGGGAGAACCAACCCAAGTGTCCGCTGCCTGCGGAGCGGATGAACCAAAGGTGGTCTGCCCGCACCATGGTCCTTATGCAGCCATCAAGGGAATGAAGTGCCGACAGGGCCACCACCAGGTGAACCTCACCAACAAGACACCAGGTCAAAGAACTCGGTCAGAAGAGACGGCGTGTGCATGATCCCATGTCTATGCCACATCCAGAGAGACAGAAAGCAGATTAGCGGTTGCCAGGGACTTGGGGGGGGGGGCAGGGAGGCTGTAACTGCTTAGTGGGTATGGGGTTTCCTTTTAGGGTAATGAGAATGTTATACAACTAGACAGAGGTGAAGCTTGCAACATGCACTAAGTGCACTAAATGCCACTGAACTGTTTGCTTAAAAACAGCTAGTTTTATATAACTATACTTTAAAAAAAATTGCCAAAATAGAATTGAAAATGAAAAAAAAAAAAAAAAAAACTGCTTCATGGAGGGCTGCTCTGAGCCACTACTGACTGCTGGCCCTGGTCACAAACGTGAGCATGTGACCTGTAGCGCCTGCCTAGCCCCAAAGCCCGTTCTGTAGGAGCTGATGGCACCCACACCCTGTGGGCCTCCACAGGGCTCACAGCCACTGGCTCTGAGGCCCAGGCCACCATCTTGGAAGTGCACCAATGGCCCACATCTGGGTCAGGGGGCCTCGACTGACCACGCCCAACTGCTGGACTGTCCCTAATCTCAGCTGCTATCAATGGCCTGCTGATGCCCTTGCAATCAATATCCCGCAGCCCCCATATATTCTGCCAACCCAGCACACCACACGAAGCCCCTTTTCTGGGAAGCTTGAACAACCTTCACCACCCACAGCGGCCAGGGTGGCCCGTGATCCCACACCAAGCCCACACGCGTGTGCAGAGAGGGCCAGGCGTGACCCTGCATCCCCCAGAAGCCTGCACGTGCCCACAGAAATTTTTAATGAGTACCTGCTACATGCCAGGCACTGGGTTAGGAACACCGCAGGTAACAGGGAGAGGGGACCCTGCTTGCTACTCTAATGGGGAGAAGATGAACCCGTCAGAAAGCAGCACAGCGAAGCAGGCGAGGATGCCACTGAAGTAGGGCAGTGAGACCAGGCAGGGCTCTGGGAGCTTTCTCTGTAATGGATCAGAGGGTGAACATCTTCAGCTCTGCAGGTACCTGGGCTGTGCCAGGGGGCAAGTAGCCACAGTGATGTGAGTGGGCATGGCTGTGTTCCAATAAAACTTTATTTACAAAAACAGGTAGCCAGCGGGATTTGGCTAGCTTTGAAGACCCCTGGGAAAGAATATGGTTGGAAGATGTTTAAAGGTCCAGGGACCTTTGAGTGGGGACCTGGATGATTCCAAGGAAGGGGCCGTGGGAACTGCTGGGAAGGGCATTTAGGCAGGGGGACTGGCAGGCAAAGGCTGACGTGGGTCAACTCTGGGGAGAAAAGGTGGCCTAGGAAGGCAGTCTGGTCGTGTCTCAAAACCTGGGGCTTGGACTTCCCAGACCCGGGGCTTCTGACAGGACTCACTCCATGCACAGAGGGGAGAGTGCTAATCTCAAAGGTCATGGGCTACCGGGGGGCCTGGAGACCATTCACAGACATACTGGGCAGGGCTGGCCCATACGGTGCTCTTGTCTGATGAACACCAAGGGCGTGAAACCGAGCCGGCCGCAGAAGGCCGCCCACGGGGGTGACTTGGCCGCGCGGGGCCGCGGCTGCCGCCCGGCTGCCTCAGAGCCCTCCCCCAGCCCTCCCGCTGCCCCACCTGTTTCTTCTTCAGCTTGGAGATCTGCTGCTCCACCATGGTGATCTCGCGGTCCACGCGGTCCATGTTCTGGATGAGCTCCTCCTTGGAGAGCCGAGGAGGGACGAGCTCCAGCTCAGGCTCCGCGTGCGGGGGGCTGGCCGGGGACACCGGCTCCACCTTGCCCGTCAGGCTGCGGTCCTGCAGCAGAGAGACGACACGTGTGGCATCAGTGCAGGGGCTGGGACCCCAGCCAGCGGCCCCCACAAAGTACACCTGCAGGTTCCAGCCCGGACTTCAGGCCCCAGCACCCCGGAGGCCGTGCACTGGGCCTGCCTCTGCCCAGGCTGGCCATCCGACCAGGTGCCCCCTCCCAGCCCTCAGGCCCCTTCTTCGGAAGTCAGAATCCTTCACAGCTTCACCGTTCCGTCCAAACACCTCCTCCTCCGGGAACGTTTCCCAACCTCCCCTCACAAGAGGACACCTTCCTCGCGCGCTCTTCCTGTAGCACGTCTCTCTTAGATACAGATATCTTCCCCACCAGACAAAGTCCCCAAGAACGGGATCCCGGGTCCCGTGACCTCTGTCCCCAAGGCCTGGCCCTCAGCAGGCCTCCATGAACATGTCTTCATGATGTTCAATCCGAACAAGCAAAGTACGACACGTGACAGACAAGACATGGTGCCCTGGGGGTGCGACGGTTAACCTCAAGTTAGCGGTTTGAATCCACGTGTTGGCTCCACAGGACAGACCTGGTGATCTGTGTGTGTGAGAGTTACAGCCCAGACAACCCCAGGAGGCAGTTCTGCAGTCACGCGGCGTCACCGTGAGTCAGAGTCCACTCGAGGCACCAACAACAGCCAACACAAGCAGCACAACCTGGCTGCAAAGTACGTGCAGTACACAGACCCCGGACAACTGGGAGAGGGCCGCGCAGAGGCTAACAGTAGTGTGGTTATCCAGAGGGCCGCAGAGGGGAGGCATCTCTACTTTCTCCTTCCGATTTACAAGTCTGTCTCCGACTTTCCCTTCACTGAGGGTGACTCTTTGTGTAAGAAAGTTGTGTGAAACAAACAAGGAACCGTAAGTCACTTCCTCACTGCCTCCTTCCAAAGCTGCTGCGTGGAGAAGGGCGAAAGGGCAGCCCTCAGCCCCAAGCGCTCACTTCTGGAGTGCAGCTGCCTGGCTTCCAATCACCACCTCCTCGCTCTGCTGCCCGCTCCCTGCCTCAGTTTCCTCATCTGTACCCTGGGGATAGTCACGGTTCCCACCTCCCAGGTTGCTGTGAGGTTTGAAGAGTAAGAACGTGGAAGCGCCGGGCTCAGAGCTGGCGTACTGTAAGCTCTCCCTGAGTGCTGGCTGTCACCATCCTGCCCCAACACCTCCAGGCCTGGCAGCGTGCACGCAACCCAAACCCTGACTCCGTGCCATCAGTCGGGGCCAAGCCGGCAGCTGGTGGTGGAGGCAGCCCCAGGAGGAGTGCCAGGCCACCACCTCCCTGCCCCCACGGCAGCTGCCACCCACAGGACACAGACTGCATTATTCCCTGGGACAACTGCAGAGCTGAGGGCTGCCAAGTGCCCCTCCACCTTGGCCCCCACAGGACTAGCGGAGGCCACACCATCTTACACATACCCTCTCCCCCCTGGGGTCTCTGCCCCAACCCCACAGGGCCCACCAGGGCCTGGCCAGGGCTGAGGGTTTGGGGATCACGCTGGGTTTGCCTCCTGGTCTCATCATGTCCATCTGAGACAGAGGGGGACCCCTGGGCACCCTCCAACAAAATCCACAGGGCATACAGAAAAGACAAAAGTACCCATATGGGCACCCCCACTCTCTCTTGGGGCACCCTCACCAGGCACGCCCTAGAAGTTAAGCCAGCTACCGCTCACTGTTCAGCCTATCCCAGTCCTCAGCTTTCCAGAACCCGTCACCGGGTCCCCACGCTGCCCTACGGGTGGGCTATTTCATTCTCAATTGATGGATAAAAGAGCCAAGAGCTAGGGGCCTAGGCCCAGTGCATGGCAAACAATGTCTGCTAAGGACCAGATGATCAAGAGTCTAGGTTTTGCAGGCAACTACTCAACTTTGCTCTGGTGGCATAGTGCCTAAGGCACTTGACTGCTAACCAGAAGGCTGGCAGTTCAAACCCACCAGCCACTCCTCAGAAGGAAGATGGGGCAATCTACTTCTGCAGTGATACTGCCTCGGCAACCCAAGGAGGGGTCGCTGTGAGTCGGGTCCGACTTGACAGCACATAACAACAACAACACTCAACCTTACCTCTATAGCACAAAATCAACCACAAACAGGACATAAACAAATGGAGCATATTCCAATAAAACTTTATTTACAAAAACAAACTGTGGGCCAGATTTGGCCTGTGGCTGTAGTTTGCCAACCCCTGCTCTAAGTAATTCATGAATCTTAACTCATGTAATTTCAGCAACTACCTGGGAGAGAAGAACATTGTTCCTCCCATTTTACAGACGAGGAAACCGAGGCTCAGAACAGCTCAATGACATGACCAAGGCCACCTGGCCACAGACGCATGGGGCAGTGGTTCAGCGAGTGCAGGAGGGGAGAAGCCGGGCCTCAGGGCCAGTTCTCAGCAGCAGGCGGAGCACACAGTCAGGCCGCAGCGGCCACACCGCAGCAACAAGGTCCTTGCCGCCTTCCCCCCTACCCCACAGAGCCAGCGTGGCTGAGCAGAGAGGCCGGAGCTACCAAACTCCTGTCTCATGCTTCCAGCTGAATTCCACGCAGCAGATGCAAAACCCATCTGAAGGCTCTTGACGTCCCAGCTTCCTCCCTGCCCAAAATTTGCTCAAACTTTCCAAATGTTCTTGGACAGCCTGTAGCAATTAGAACAGTCGATCCAGCCAGGCCCCAACTCTGGGCCCATGGCTTCCCTCGCCAGAGTCCAAGAAGAGAAAGAGACCGAGAGAGACAGAGTGAGACTGTGACCGAGAGAGGCCGAGACAGAAAGAGACAGAGACAGTGGGAGGCAGTGTCAGGTTACCCAGTGAGCGAGGTGAGCACGGGCTCATTGTGCTTGCTTACAGATCTGCAGTGAACGGTTTCACATGTGTTTCATCACATCATGTGAAACTGTACAAATATTCACGAGCTTTTACCTTCTGTCCCTGATGGGAGACAGTGAGACAGAGACAGAGAGGCAGAGGCTGACACAGATACCCAGGCAGAGAGAGAGGGCGCCCCACCAAGGAGAAGGCACCCCACCAAGGAGGGACGAGCAGACCAGGCAGAGATACAAACAGGAGCAACAGGGTCAGGAGCCCGTCTGAGGAGCCTGCGAGCTGAGGGCTCCACACTGCTGTGGTGAAGGGTGGACGCTGAGGACAGAGTGGACAAGTCATCGTTCCTCTGGGGTGTGACGCCACGCTGGGGCGTGTGAGAGCCAGGCCAGGGGCAGGGACGAAGCAGCCCCAGTGTGCCCCACATCCCCTTCCCAGCACCCATCCCAGACCCACTCAAAGGAGGGCTTTCTGAAGGACAGCACCCCGGGAGGCTGAGCCTGCGCCCCCTGCCCTCCACAGCCCCTCAACGGGTCAGAAGAGAAGGGCAATGGCAGAGGTGCTTACAGGGTCATTGCCATATGGCAAGAGGGTAGCACCCTGGAAGACCAGAGGAGGTGGGCTACAGAGCTGCTGCCAGGACCAGACCTCTCCCCCACACCTCCCAGCTCGGACATGGGTGGTACCTCCCGCCTGTTCAATCTGGGGTCCCCTTTCTAAAGCAGGGTCCACAGTTTTAATCCCACTGGGCAGGGAAGGTACCACTGGGTGGTACCTGGGGTGACACTGGCCACGCCCGGCACTATACCTGGCACACAGCTAAACTCAGTTCACGTGAACTGCTGTCAACCCTGCTTTCCCCACCTTGTGATCCGCTCCATCGAGCTATGCTGCCTGCCCCCACAGACCTGCTTCCACCCAAAATCCACCCCTCAGCCCCATCAGGCGACAGGCACAAAAGAGGACCCTGAAAGGCAAAGCTGGGACGCCCCCCCCTCAGCCTGGCCTTTTCGGCACAGGAAGCAGGCCCCAGGCCCAGGCAGCACGAGCAAAGCGGTGTGAAGACGGGTGGAAACCTCCACATCTCCCAGGCTGACGGCTCTGAATTCAGGAGGAGCCCCGGGGCACTGTGAGCCCTCCCAGAACACAAAATCCTGGGTCAACCAGCCAAGTAGAGGAGGCCACCAAGGAAAGGATTTCAGAAGGGGCACATGTGCTCACCATCCCACTGTCGTGGACAAACTCCTGCCCAGACCACCAGCAGACCCCCGAGAGGAGCTCCAGCGGGCTTCCACCACCCCCGAGCCCCAGTCAGGAGCAGGGATGGCTTCCCAGGGCCAGGCCAAACCCCTCATCCCTGGACCCACCTCTGGCTGCCCCGTCCTTGCCCCAGTGCCAGCCTCTGCCCTCCCACCTGGCCCTCTTGGCAGCAGAACTCCCAAGCAGGGGGCAACCCTCACCTTGGTCAGGTCCTCGGGGCCTCCAGGCTGGGCTGCGGCCAGCAGGGCTGAGGGCCGGGCCAGGGGCTCGGGCAGCAGCTCGAGGCGTGGGCGCTTGCTCTCAATGAATTCCATCTCTGGCTTGCCCAGCTCAGGCAGGTACGAGTGGGCCTCGGGTCGCAGGTGCAGCTCCTGAGACCTGTGCAAGCAAGGCCCACAGCATCAGACGGGGAGAACAGAGATCTGCGGCCCACTCCGGCTGAGTGCTGCCTGCTGGGCACCTGTGAGCACACCCTCAAGAGCCTCTGTCCGCAGCTGCAGCTGCAGCCACGCCAAGACAGGCCCTCTATCCACAGCCACGGCCACGGCGAGGCAGGCCCTCCATCCACAGCCACAGCCACGCCAAGACAGGACCTC